TTAAAATTTGTAATTTTCACACTCAAAAGGAGAGGGGAGGAAACGCAGAAATATCTCTCTGGATTAACCACAAGAATTGAACAAAACCAAGGTCAGGCTAGCTGGGTTCCCCTTCAATACACCCCAGCTATATATAAAGACGATAAAAACAAAACAAACATAATGAACTGCTGCAGATTCTGTGCACCTTCACCTAAAACTAGCATACCACTAAGGTTCACTGCACTGAACAATCATCCACCTCGTAGAACCCCATTAAAAATTCAACATGCTAAATCTGTGAGATTTTGTATCCATAATGAAGACCAGCACACGATTGAGACAAAATAAATTAGCTGCTTTTGTGCCCGGCCTGCCAAGCTTGCTACTCACTGAGGCTAGATGGTTAAATAAGTCTGCATGTGTGCAGTCATTTCACACTTAGTGAACACTCTCTGTAGCGTGATAGTTGACGCAACAGCCCTGTACCTAAGAACAGTGTAAATTGTTTCCTTGTTTTGAATCTCCTAAATCTCCTAACCAGACGAGGTCTATTAAGCACCGTTAACTACTGATTTTAATCAGTGTAATCCTTGGTGGCCTGCTTAATTTATCGGGGATTAGCAGATCTTGGGTGTATTGGCAAAAAGCCTCTATGCAGTTGTACACATAATGTGACTAAAAATTACGGTACACTTTTATTGCAAATATGGCAAGATGCTATCAGACTGGACTGATAGCATCCTAGTTTGAAAACTGTTGACTACTGCTGTTGCTTGTGATCTTGGGTAAGTCGCTCACTTACTCATTACTTAGTCCTTCATGTGGGATGTTAAACCGTTAGTGCTTAAGTACTGGTTCCAATGTAATGACCGATTTGTAGATGATGCTCCCTGGCTTCTGTGGCCCACAGGGTTCTAATCTAAATACCCTTACCCTGATTTGATTATTTTCAGCAAAAGAGCATACAATATACATCATTAATTTACATCATGATTAAAGGTTGTACTAAATTCTACATTCATGATTGTTATATATACTCTAATGCTTAGACTTTTTTTAAACTAAAATTCTAATCTTGAATAATCTTCATTTAGAATGTGCATTTTTACAAACATTTTACATTACTACCAGCATTATTTTACCAAGATTTACAATCTATTGTCCTCTCAACATGAAACAAAATTAGTTAATGCTTACTACCCGTAGACAATGGCTTCTCAATTAAATAGTGAGGTAATGCCAACACAAATGGAATCACTGAACCAATTAACCACACACTGTTAATTAGAGTTCATTAATTGAATTTAAGCATTTCCTCATACAACCCGTTGCAGTGATGCTGCAAGACATGATTTAAGCATTAAAAAAAATCAGTAAAATGAACAACTCACTGTACGATTGTTACTCAGTGGCACCATGTAGTTTGCCATGTCAACAAACTGATGGATAAAATCTACTGGTCCACTAACATTCACTTTTGCAGTGTCATATAATTCCTAAAATAGAAATTCAAAAAAAGAATACACAGAAGTTGTGAGTTTGGTAATTCCCTACCATTAAGTTGTTGGTCAAATTCTTGCAACCAACAAACAATAGTATGTTTAATGTGACAAATGATTAAAACAACTTATAAAGCTAACAATTACAAGGTTACCATGGTAATCAATCTTCCATCAACTCTTCGCTTCCTGATATAGTTTAGTGGCAGTAAGGGAACAATTTTCGACAACAGACAAACTGTCATTCAACTTTTCTATTAGTATATAGAAAAGTTGAATGACAGTTTGTCATTCAACTTTTCTGTAAGTATATAAAGTGATAAAACCCCAGATTTTAGGTTTAATATTTGTTTATTATAGTAAATTGTTATAATTGGTCAATTTTGACTTTTGACCCAATGGTAGATTTTTCTCCTATCTTAATGTTGGTTTATTGCAAATGCTAAACACAATGGTGCAACTTTCTCCCCATGAATTTTATGTTGGAGATTTGAAACTTACCAAAGCTTTGTTGAACTGACGTTTACCAATAATCTCAGTATTCTCAAACATATCATTGCCTGGTCCAGCTGCTTTACATAACTGAACCTACAAAATGAATGTAAACTTCATGAAAACAAAAATATGAGAAATGCAGGAAATGATATATCCATGCTTCAGTCTCAATTACTTAGCATCAAAACATTTACATTTTTCTCTAATCCTTCTTAGCTTAATGGCAGGTCACAAATGAATATATGTTTTCATCAATTATAAAATTGAACCTTCCTCCCCTTCATGTATGTTCATCCGATGTTTATTAGTATTTTTTTTTTGTGTTTTAAAAGTGACTTGAGCCAATAAAAGGCACTTTCATTGAGGAAGGTGCTATAAAAATGCTTGACCACTGACCATTGAAGCTGTGAATACACTACCTTGCCATTACAGGTGCTAGTTAACAGGTCACATGGTTTCCCTGTGTCCACACAAGATGCACCTTTGATGTTTGGTGAAACATCACCAAGGTTACTGCTGGAAAAACCTGCCACAAATTCACCCTAACAAAAGTAGTGAAATATTAAAAAAATAATCTAAATAGTTATTTACAATACACATGCATATTAATGTGTATTAATATGCATGTGTATTGTAAATAGTTATTTACAATACACATGCATATTAATGTGTATTAATATGCATGTGTATTGTAAATAGTTATTTACAATACACATGCATATTAATTCACATTAATATTATATAAGTGTTGATTGGTTCATATAGATATTTGGTTAATTTTTAAAGGGTGAACCTTCCAGCTTATCCTAAGGTAAGCTGATATTTAGTTGTCCTCTAAAATAAAGGAAAATAATTAACTCATTATTGCCTTTCTCTGGGATCAAAACCTTTATAATGATGGTTCACAACATCTTCTATCAACAGCTAACATTTACTGGTAACAAATAACTTTACTAAAGGCATTAAAAATGAATCCACACATTCAAAGTTCGTGACTTTCACTCCCTTTTAGGATCTACCCCTGCTTGTGGGGTTTATTAATTTGTTTGAATGAGCAGTTACCTGGCCAGGAAAATTATCAAAGTTGAACTCCTTTTCCATCAGATAGGCTGCATATCCTTTGTTGTCACCGCTGATCAGACGATTTGAGCTGTTCATACTCACAGGGTGCACAGCAAACCAACTTAAAGAAAATGGAAGTAAATATATACATGAAGTAATACATTTAATAATAATAATATATTGTTTGCGATAAAATCTAATCCACTTTAAAAAAAAATCAATTAAACCACTGAATTTGTTGATTGAAAAAGATCAAGTTGTTAACTTTCAATGTTCTAATGAACGTATTTTAGTTTATTCACACACATTCACTTATAATAACTATTCTTTTGGTTTAGCTTATTGTACAGTTTAATATAATTCCAATTACAATGTTGGTTTTTATCTTGTATATTTTAGGCATCCAGTCATTTTGAGTATTGTATTCAAATGATTTTTGTGTCTGTGTATGTGAAAATTCTTTCACATTAAAGTTTTATTTAATTAATGATTTTTCTGCATTAACTCATGTCTTAATTTGCATTAGCAATCTTAATGTTTTTAAGCATTATTAATCACAATTGTATTCCACTTTTTAAATAAAATTTTTACCTATTTTGTATGATTCAAATTTTTAAACATTTCAATTGTAGTAAAGAATATCAGGTTATCAGTTGCACCACACAGTATATGAAACTGCGTTAAAATAAAATCAATTGATCTTACTTAATACTTCCAACATCAGAATTGTTTTTGCCAATGAGTTTTAACAGGAACATCTCTTTATCAACATCATATTGATACCTGTGAAAAGATCAATAATAGCAATAATAAAATAATAATAATAATAATAATAATAATAATAATAATAATAACAATAATAACAACAACAATAAAATAATAACAATAAAAAAAATAACAATGAAATATTAATAATAATATTAACAACAAAAAAATAACAATAAGAATAACAATAGGAAACAATAACAGCAATAGCAACAATAACAACAGTAACAACAACAATAACAATAAAATTACAATAACAACAACAACAAAAATAAAAATAGTTCACAATTATAACAAAAAAGCAATAACAACAATAATAATAGCAATCACAGTAATACATTATTCTTGAGTGTTTTTAGCTTCTCCTATACATTCAACTTACTTTTGCCTTTCTTCTTCTGGGTTATTCTGGTAGGCTGCTGGACTGCGGTTGATGTTACTTTCAAGTAGCTCCCCCTCGTTTAGCATCAAGGCACCATCAGCAAGATTCTCATGGGCTTGCTCAATACTCTGAGGATTTCAATTGATACAATTGATTAGTTTATGTTACATTTCCTCAATAAAACAGTGGTGTATCTAGGAGTCTAGAAATGGCTAATGGGAGGGCAAGAAGATGAGACATTGGGGGAACATGTGTCTCCCATGCACCCCTGGATACATTATTGAATAGCAAAACTATAACATAAATATAAAAGAACAGCAGCATTAAGGAGAAGAATGAGAATGAGAAGTAGAAAGGAGGATGAGGAAGTGAAGAAAAAAGAAAGACAAGAAAAGTATGAAGAAGGGGAAAATAGAAGGAAATTTACAAACTATATAAATCTATAAATTAAAGCAAGATAATAGACACCGACCTCAACAATGCCATCAACGATGATGTCAATATTAGCATCTACATTCCCTAGAGAGGTCAAGGTGAACAACAGATACTGCTGATAGCCTCCCGGTCCAGAGTGTGTGTGAGTTCCACTGATCACTGTATTACTGACATTATACTGCCCCAGACCATTTTCAGATAGTTTTTTGAAAACCTAAATAGAGTTGAATAAAACAATTATAATAATTTAAAATCTATAATATATGTTAATTTTTTAATGTGAAAATATTTTATACATTTTAGGCGTGTTGGATGGCCAATCGATGAAGACACGGGTGCTGCAACGTACAGCTATAATATCGGTGCTGGCTCGAATGGCACGCTCGCCCATGGTTCTGGTGGTGGAACAAGACTTCTCGGATAAGAACTATACCATAGGCCCAGTGTACATAATTTGGCTCATATGCACTTTAAAGAACCCAGTACATCTTTCGAGACGAGTAGGGGATTACCCCTGTGAACTGGTCCATTCAGCCCCTGCTGTGGACAGATGAGAGTAGATGGTACCGGTTTACTGGGTAGCTCAGACAAGAAAAGACCCTTAGGAGAGAAGACAGTTACAGTAAAAGCCAGTCCACACATTGAGTGCTTTAAGCCCATTTTGGTATAAAGCGATATATAAATCTAGCTACATTACATTACATGCATTACCTTCTCATTTATTAACTGAGATCCCATACCGAGGTCGACTGTGACAAACACATTACACTTGTCCTGACAGAAGATGAACGCTCTACTAAAAAGCCGGAGATGAATGCCCCCTGTAATCTGAACTGGGTTGGCATAACCCATCTGAAACAGCAAATTAATCATTCAATTAGTGCATCCATCAGTCAATCAATCTATTGGTAACAGTTGCAGCACCAGAACTGATAAATAGGGGGAGGAAGAGAAAAGGCTGAGATAAAGAAAATAATATTTGACTAATGCATCGGCCAAGAACAATAGACAGTTTTGAGCTTTACTACACAGAAAGCAAAAGTGTGAAAATATGAAATATCTTCCATTCAAATGCTAAATAACATTAATACATTAAGTTAAATAGGAATCTAATTATCTAAATTATATTTACATTATTCATCAATGCTTTAAACTAATAATCTAAGGTGGAGTTTCATTAAAAATGTTTTTATTATGAGAGTGAATTATACCTAATTCACCTAAACCCAACTGAAATTATTTTCGCTATGAATGGGATATACCTGAAATCTCTGCTGTAGGTAACAGAATGATACTATAAGTGACCGGCAAAACCAGCCATTTGTAGCAAAAATTTAAAATTGACATTTTGGTGTTTTTAGAATCTGCATGAATTCTTTACATTTGATGGAAATTAGTTAAGTAACTATTAGCGAATTTATGAATATTTATATTCATTCATTAAATATCAGCCATGTAGGTTTAGAGAAAACAGCTTCCAAATATTCCGAAATTAATACTTTATTATTAAGATTTGTATATTTAAAATAATCTTAATATAGGGTGCTTCAGGGAAACTAGAAATTGCGACAAATGGTAGGTTTTGCCAGAGACTGTCAGTGTCACATATTGAATATGTATTATGAACTACTCTTCCATCATTCACTCTCCATTGTTGATGGATGAACTTATTAATGTAAAGATTTACTGTAGTTATATATTGTTACTTTATAGGCCTCTGTTATTAACTAATTTTTGAGCTATGGAGAATATTGAACTGCGAAATAAAAGATGAAACAAATGAATGAATAATAGTCAGGTGTTTACACTGTGTTTATTAATAAACAAACTCAATAAATAATAAATAACATTATTACAAATAATTATCCTTCATTACAGGTTTCAAATTTGATAATTGCTGAAAACTTAGCAACAGCAAACATGATGATAGATTTAATGAGCACTGTATCTACATTAAAGTACCGCATAACTCAAAGCTTATCTACATTGTACAGACACAGCTAATAGATACAAAGGTCAAGTAAAGAGTTGATGAACTTAGTACTATGTATTCAAGTAGTGAATGGTAGTTTTACAAAGGTTTTTTTCTTACTAAATGTAGTTTCTCCTTTCTTAAACTAAAATATGTTTATAATTGTTTTAAACATTTTTGAAACAGAAAAAAAAACAGAAACATGTATTTCTTTTGAAATCCTCAAAAATATAAAGTTGAATTGAAACTTGTCTTTCTTTTTTCAGCAACTATATTTTAAATTCAAACACAGTCCAACTAGGAAATTAATGAATCAGGATTTTAAAATAATTCACAACAATATCTTCTTTTTTGTTTTCAGCACAACTACAGTACTCTAAGTTCTTCAAAAAGATGTTTTTCAAGGGAGAGCACAAGTTTGAACCAAAGTTCATCAAATTCTCTATCTCCCAGTAATTGGGTGCTGTTTTCACATCTCAATAGAAATTATTATGCATTATTAGTGCTTACTAACAAGATATTCTGTATAGAAATTGTTCAATTCCCGAAGGCCGTTCATAAATAGGCTAGGCCTAATACTAGGCCTATGCGTCAAGGGAAAGTATCCTACTGCTGTGCTAGTTACTAGGCCAGTTAAAGTAACTCAGGATGGATGAGCCCAGGCCCTGGTCGTTCTAATTTTATCTCGTTTGCTTACCATGTTTACGTCAGATGCAGGGCCTGTAACATCTGCAATCCCTGCACCTATTTTATATTGATCATCCTGTGCAAAGCCACCGCGAAATAACCAGAGAAATCTTAAAATTATAAATATGAAAGACCAGCTACCTAAAGAAATAAAACTCATCCTGTATATGCCGCGCCAACTATAGTATCAGATTGGTTGTAGTTGTGTGGTTGTGCAGTTGTCCAGTTTATGTACTGTCACGTGTGATTGTTTTGATATCACAGCTGACTATCGCCGAGAAGGGGAGCACTCGCTACACAGGAGGGGAAACTCGTTATTTACGGAGTCATCACCTCTCCATTGGCGTATCCAGAATTTCGAAAGAGGGAATGCTGAGTAGAAATATATAATATTCAAGACTGGAGACTGAGGGAATTAGAGATCATTGGGGCGACTGTGAGAGGCGTCCAAGGCTCTGTATTATATAATTGTGCAACAGCGCCGCCTAGCAGCGGCAAACTTTATTAATCCATTTTATTTTAGTTTCATGCCTGTTGCAATACGGCACTATATGTTTTGTTGATGTTTATTCATATTTTTTTCTAATCTGGATCTTGTATTTACCATCCATACCTATCTCCTCTTCGTATATATTGTCAACTTCGAAATCGTTCACTAAATCCACCTCCCCATCCATTATCCATTAAACCGAACTCTATTGGGTTTATCCGTCGGTTCTCCATTATGGTATAGGCCTACAAATCAGCAAAATTACTTTTCATTTTTCTCTTCTTTTTTTTCAAAATATTCAAGGCGGATATATGACCTCGAATAGTATAGTGTTGGGCACAAGAATTGGGAACAGGAAGGGGGTGGCCGCAGTTTAGCATTCTACTTTACATGGAAATATAAGTTGACAGTCAAGTCAGAGGCACCGGATGTGTCCTCTTTCTACCACAGTGCCTTGCACCACATTCTCCTGAGTTCATTACATCTTATGCCCATAATAATAGAAAGAATCGGCTCGATTAGAGTCTTATCGAGGATATAGTGAATTTCTAATATTGTCATCGTAGAGATTTAAAATATTCAAGACTGCATAACTTAGAAAAATATATTGGTATGAATTCGAACCAACTGCAATACAAACTACAAAAGCAGGCAGAAGCCTAGGTTATACCAAGGCAAGGAAATAGGCCTATAGACAATAACTTCATTGGCTAACGCGTGCCTGAATAGGCCTAATTGTTTCATGGGCCTTGCATTAAATCTATAATTATAGACACAGATACTGTTATAGAGCAGAATATGCCATGGTCAGTGATCTTATTCGAGACACAGTTGGTTCTTCGTCAGCATGCTAAGTGTAACAAGAGGGACAAGATACGGATTAAAACTGTAACCCTAATTTGATTTTGTCCTTCAAATCCACCGCTGCGTTAAACGGCCAATTTGTCATCCAACATGGTCTAAAAATGTCTCGCAGTGGGACCTATGGTTTGGGAACCGCGAGAACAAGCACGGCTAATTACCTCGGCAACCATCTTTCAAACTACAATCATACTCAGTACTATACCCGTATTAAAATGAAACAAGATTACATGATGTACCGTAAATGTTGTAAATTCCATTTACATAATTATAGGTCTCGGATTAAACCTTTGGTATAGTAAAATGAGGAGGCCTAATAATAGATGTTTGTAGTCGTATTTTGTTCATGTTGAAGAAGAGTACGTTTCTGTACAGAATAGGGAACGGCGTATAAACTGTATTGTTGTCTGTGCCAATATTAAAAGTTCGATGACTATCCAACCAACCACCTAAAGCCAAGTGTTTCAACATCAAACAAACTAACAATAGATTACGAAGAAAGGGAGCTCGGATTCGCGTGCCAGTGAGCCCACGGCCACTCCAGGAGAGAATGAGCAATAGGTGCTTAAAAAAAAAAAAAACAACCTATGTACATGCCAAAGGTAAATTCCAAAGGTTTTGAATTCCGTATAGACTAGTGGAGGAAGGATGTGGAAATACGGAATCACCCTTTAGTCACAACACTCTCTGGTACAACAATAATTGAATTAAACGAAATTACGGGAAAAGTGAGTATACGTAGTAAATAAACAGCAACCCTCCAAAGAACACTGCTGCTGCTGACAGATATTGTCACCGATTTTTCCCGACACCCCCCCCCCCCAGTGCCCCCCCCCAGTGAACATCTCTTCGTCTCCACTGTGCTCATTTGATCATTGTTTGTTGTTCCTCTTTTCGTACAAAGACCTATTTGAAAAACACACTTTCTCATTCTCTGCCTTTATTTTCTTTTGAATAAATCCCTCGCCTTTTCTTAGTAAAAATTCACCTACTCATATTTTAAAGTTAATTTAAAACCTAGGCCTATTTTTGTTGCAAACTTTGAGGGAGATGGGCAACACGGAATATGCCGGTAAAAACGTTCCCGGTCTCATACTCCGACGTATTTCAGAGTAAATTGACGAGCTTGAGACCCTTTTGCCCTTTACTTTACAATAGTTTTATTAATATCAATTAGCCAGTTCCAAGTACTTATAATAATAATAATAATAATAATAATAATAATAATAATAATAATAATGAATAATAATAATAATGATAATAATAATAATGATAACAATAATAATAATAATAATAATAACTTTATTTACAAGCTAAGAAACTTTTCTTTCACATAAAATGTGTTTTTCACAAGACCGTTTTGACTTAAATACAAATTATACAAAGTAAAAAAAAGTAACAATCATTAAAGCAAACAGAGAAATATATACAATTATAAGTCAAAATCGAAACAATTGAAATCGCATAGGCCTAATTGTAAATTTCATTAACGTAATGATATCACGGTACAATGTAAATAATTTGTTTTCAATTGACATTTCGTTTACAACCTATGTTCAACATTATAATAGCAATCATTCAAAACTTCCCTGCAAAGTATGACAGTGTTCACACAACTTGATAGTGTAGAAGGGATTAACTGTATGAGTATTTCATTGGCGTCCTATATCAAACAATAGTCTGAAGACATGCACATTCAACACAAGAAAATACGAAAAACTGTTTTTCAATTGTTTGAATATTAATTCATAAATCGGATAGTTAAAGATTCACTGTTTTTCAAGACATCGAGATAATAGTTAATAATAATGTAGTTTTATATAGCGCACATATCCATCTAATGTAAGATGCCCAGGGTGCTTGATATGTGGACTAGGAACTCGACCAATCTACCTGTGCTACCCGGTAACCAGGTGCCCCAGCAACTCTCGTCGTCGACCACATACCGTACATTACTTGATACATTTACATACGTACCTATAATTTACAAGCTGGGCTTACGATAGGTGTCGCCATTTGCTATTTTGTACAGTAAATGAAGACAAATCAAGTGAAATAAATGATTGATTGATGAAATGCGATTTGGTAAATTCTTGTTTCCAAAATAAACTAAATACAATTACTGCAGCCATACGGTAGTAACTATGTTATATCGAGTAAACTAATAGGCCTAAATGATAGTTACAATTGGAATCAAATGCAATTGAGTTGATATTGTTATACTATGTTCAGTGGCGTATCTAGAAGTTTTGAAATGGGGGTTCTGATGGGGAAGGGGCCCGAACGTGAAAGGGTGGGGGCTCGATCAGTTCAGGGGCGCGTAATTCGCAAAATAAGGTGATTTTTAACTACTTGCAAGTGATTTGGGGGGGAGTAATTTTTGGAGGGGCGTGCGCCTCCCCACCCCCGCACACCCCCCAGATACGCCACTGACTATGTTAGTGTTTTCTCGAATTTAATAGTCTGTGTTACTTCACAGTGTCCGACGCTGTACATTGTACAATTTGTTATTAATTTTCTTTGTCGATTCTCTTAGTTTATCGAGTCAATAACCAAGGGGGTAATTACCGTTATTAATAAAGTGTTTTACTTTTTGTATACGACAAAATCCAGGTTTATTTTCATAACAGAAATGACGCTTAGCTTTTTCAAAGAAGACGTTTTTTTTGAAAGTGTAAAACATTTCAAACCATTATTCATTCAAATGGTTGCCGTCGGCGTGTTTGAACCACGGTGATAGTTACGCGTGGAGTGCGTAGTGGTTGTTACGCTCCGTGGTGGGTCGTGAATAGATTTGCGAGGTCCTTGTAAAATCAAAAGACACTATGCAAACAGGTATCAGCAAGAAAGTCACGGGATGAATAGGATCAACAAAGGAATTAAGAATAGTGTTGTTTTTAATTTGATGAGAGGCATAGTTGTCTGTAATCTTTTATGAAAGCACCTACAAGGCAGAGATTATCACCAATTGCTAGGTCCTCCCCTGAGAAAAGCCCTAGGCACGCAGGCACGCGAGTCGGAGCTCTCTTTTCTTCCCAATCTGTTAGTTTTAGGTTTCTTGTTTAGAGCCTTTAGGTGGTTGATTAGATGGTCACCGAAATTGTATTTGGCACATGCAAAAGTACAAATAGCGAAGCATGTTGAGAAACAGGATTAAATTCGTTTTTGTGAACGACATATAATTAAGTATAGGATAGAAGAAGGCTAAAGGGATTAACTTCGAGTAAGTCCCACCTCTGATTTCCCAAATACACCAAAGGGGACAAATCTAAGCACCACAGATGTTCAGATTTAAATTCCATCAATACTGTGTTGCTAGGGGTATGCCGCTGCTGTTCTTCCTTAAAATTAGTAAAGATGGTCCGAAAATAATTGGTCTATGTGCTAAGTATTAACCTTATCAATAATTATCATATATAGCTAAGTTTACTACTGATAAACATTATCGATTGGTAACGCCAGTGGAGAATTGAGCATCTTCTCCCATCGAAGAGCTCAAATAACTTCGACATTGAAAAAAAAAAATCCCTATGTAATTTTACAAATTATGAGACTCTTTGAAAATTGATTGTAGTAAGCCTGTCAGGCCAATTAATTGAGCGTATGGACGTCCTCTACGAGTGGCCCACTACACTCATCTCCCCCTCCTCTTTCGTGCAGAAAATACTCCCAATATGGAGTAGAGAAATACAAACATCAAAACATCTAAAGCTCACGTTTAATTTGGCATCAAAATATAAACTATAAAAACACACATCCAGAATTAAGCATAAACATGGTTAATTAGAAGATTCTTCTAATAATTGTATTAATGATTATTATAAATGTAATACTTTACCTGTCACAAATTCCATGATTGGCACATTAATAGACCTTTCCGGAGTG